TAAATGGAATAATTATTTTGCAGAAAGAAAAGTGGGATCGTTAATTCTAACGGTACCGTTTCCTGTGAAGATGCGATGACCTTTTTGCTGTTCGTTGGCGGGCCTCACCCGATTAAAGTCAATGACCCTAATTTCTCTCTGGAGTCTATCCTTTTATTCACGACCACTGTAATATAATTTATAATTACTAAAATTTAGTTAACTGTTTCCCTTATATAAAACTTGTCAGGCTACTCTCTTTTTCTATTTTCTTAATAAATAAAGTTGGCATTAATTAAGCATCACATTCGGCATTGGTTTCATGGTTCATGATGAGTATCAATACTTTTTCACCAAATATTTGGTGTTTAGTGAGGGTCCATAATTAATGGAATACTTTTTCTTTATTTATGACTATGTGAAGATATATTAAAATGTGTTTATCAACCACATAAAAATGTTTGGTAAGAACTATATGCCAGCAAAATTAATTTTCTTTAGATCAAATATATATGATATTATTTAAAATAATTATTTTTTATATGAATAATGGAGATGAAAACAATACAGTATTTCATCCAACGAAATAAAGGAAAACTCCGTAAAAGTAAACATACCACTGACAATAGGTTGTTGTTCGCTTAATCATGTGTTGTAATTTGATTATTATTCAATTTATATGATAATATTCTCAGTCCATTAGATTTGGTAATCAACATTTTGAGTATAAATTAGGTATTTAATCCATTAAAAAAATGTGAATTTCACCGTGCAGTAAATAGTTGTTTGAATTAGTTATGTTAATCCCAAACATTAACAATAATAATTAGGAACGTTGACTTGATGGATAAATATACACTGAAATCCCTATCATCAATAATAATTCAGCCAGTTTCATTTGATTAAGTTTAATGGAGTCAAAAAAATTTTATTGCAGTACCAATCGTGTATTTTTCTCTTTGTTTCACAAAATTTGTGTTATCAAACGTTTATAGACTCATTAACAACTAATTAATTGTGATTTGAGTGGAAAATCAGTTTTTCTTTGTGATAAAATTAAGGTGCGACTTCTGAATTCTGATAGTTACATGAAAACTTAGTGGGGAAAACTAATCTTTAACATAATCATGTATTAGCTAGTGTAGTTTTATGTATCAACATGCTATTATACTTTTACATATAAAGATGATCATGAGAAACATACTTTAGTAACAAGAAAATTATGATACTCCAACAAAAAAATTACTAATCTTTCATTGTACACTACCAAGAAAATTATGATACTCCAACAAAAAAAATAAATGTTAAAATATTTCAATTGTATAATTTATGTTGAGAAATTTTCCTGGATATTCCAACGCATATTAACATAAAAATATTATATTTTAATTAATTTGTTTTTTTAATTTTAGTTAGAATTTGATTATTCTAACAGCCATTTTTCTAATAAATTTTTTTATTAAAATATATAATTTTCGTCAAAATTTTTGTGCGAATCATATTTCAACCCCTGAAAAAAATTGTGGTTAAAATCTTCAAAATGCCAATAGAAATTTTTTTATGGCCCTTAGGTGCTGCCTAACGCCTAGACTGGCGGCTAAAACTGAATTACAGAATTGAGCTTTTATTCAACTAGGATAAAAAAAATAAAAGAAATTGATAAACATATTAGATAGAGTTGCTAACAAAACTTGTTCGAGTTGATTCGTGTGCAGCGAAAACTTTTTATTTGTTAATCGAGTCGAGTTCGAATAGTAAACTTGGCTAGTTTAATAATCGAACAAACACTAGCCCGTTCCTGAATATTAATTTATTATAATTTTATTTTAATAAAAAATAACATATACAAATATTTAATTTTTACATGAGCTCTCTCTCTCTCTCCTTACTCATACCTTATTACAATACATTATTTCAATTTCTAAATAAGTGATAGTGAAATTGAAATATTATGGTAAATATTATAGACCAATCACATCAAAATTATTTGAATTTTTTATTAATTTATAATAATGTATAACATAAGTATTTTAATTTTTTCTCTAAATAATTCACATAACATTTCGTTATTGGTTGATTTATCATTATAATTTTAATAATATGCATTATAAATATTATGTTTTTTTCCCTAAGCTAACATTTACATCAATATTGTTGAAGAGATTAATTGTTGATTTATTGTTGTAATTTATAACAATATATATTATAAATATTTTATTTTTTCTTACTACGTTAATAATTTATATAGATAGTTCGACAGATGATCCGTTGGTTTGTCATCATAATTTGTAACAATATATCTAATAAATATTTAATTTTTTATTCTAAACTTAATATTTGCATGGAGGTTCAATAAATTAAATAATTAATTCATTTATCATAATTGATAACAATATATATTGCAAATATTTTTGTTATTTATAATCTAATATTTTACATGACAGCTTGACAATTGACTTGTTGGTTTATCATTTTAATATAGGCGTTTTAGAAAAACAAAAAAATATTTTTTTTTAATTTATAAATAGTTGTACTTGGACCGATTAATTTATCATATTATTATTTAATATCATATTACCTAAAATAAAAATAAAAGTTTCACTACAATACTAAAAAAATTACCAAAAGCAAATAGAAAAAAAATTAAAATTTTTATTTAATAACAAAATATATTTTGGCTGGAAAACAATACTATTTTAAGTAAATACAACCTTTACAAAAATGAGACTTTTATAAAAAAAATTTATATTTTTATTTCATTATTTGAGAATATGTAATCTCTTAAAATAACCACCACTATGCTATACATTGGAAAAAATATCATCTCCTAACAAGATACTCATTTAAAACTATACTATTTTCCCACTTTTTATTTTTTATTTATTTTTTTATTTTATTTTAAAAAAAAACTTGCAAGACCTATATATTTCTATTTTATACATACATATAATAATTTATAATATGTGTATCATGTTATACCAGCCCAATCATTAGCATGACATGCCTTTTTTAGAAATATATATATATATTTATATGTAGTAAATGCATATTTAAAAAAGTAAAATAAATAAAAATAATATAATTTGATAGTATAAAGTATAAACGGATTGACCCATATATCGTTTAAATCAACTTTATCACATAAAAATTTCTGAATATTAACATTTAATTATATTAATAAATTATATATTAAGGGAGAGAGAAAGAGCCATATGTGAGGAAGGGTGTTACTGTTACAAGGGATAAAACGTACGGCGGGTATCGTTTGTTGAGAGGGTATAAAAAGAGAGGGTATAGCCATAAAAAATCTCATCCCCAAACACACTCAAATTTGCTTATTTCTATCTTTCTTTTTTTTTCACGCTTTTTCAAAATTTTCCATCTTTCCATTTATTGGAGAATGGAAATTCTCTTGTGACTCCGATTACATATCAATCAGACTCTTGTGATTTTGTCTTATTTTTTACCTCTCTAAGGCAAAAGATTATTGAAAAATATATTGCTGCTGGGACCAAACATGGGTGGTGACAAGGGCCTCAGCCTTGAAGAGATCAAGAATGAGACTGTTGATTTGGTAAATTAAAATTCTCTCAACTTTTGAATTTTACTTTATTTTTCTTATGTTGTTTTTGTTCATTTTTGGTTCTTTTTATTGTTTTGTGAAGTGGGATTTGCCTGTTTTTGTTTCCTGTTTCATGGGTTTTCTGGGATTGTGATGTGATGAATATGTAAAGGTTCATTTTTTTTTTTCCTAGTAACTATTGAATTAGTGGAATTATGAAGGAACAATTTCTTTGTTCTTATTTTGACTATATAAGAAGATAATTTGCATAGGGAAAAATGAGTTGATCTGACGGTTCAAACTTGTTGAACCTTCAGATGTTTTTTTGTGTTCTGCTTCAGTGCTTCAAGTAATCTTTCTGTCACTGCTTTNAAATAAATAAATAAAGGAAAAATATCACCTTTATTGTTATTGGATTTAAAAAAATAAAATTTAAGTAATAAGTATAGAAAATATCTTCTTCTTTTCTTTTATTTCCATTTGTAATTTCTGTGCAGAGCCTGTTATATTTTAATTTACCTTTTTTTTGTTTGCTTTTGCTTTTAATAATTGAGGCAGATAAAATTGTGTGGTGCTGCTTTTTTACGCCTGGTTTTGGTTTTTATAACGAAAAATTCGTTGGGTACTTTTTCCGTGGTACTTTTTCCCAACCCCCTATTGTTTCGATATTTGCAGTTTTTGGGAATCTAAAACTTTTCCAAGTGCTAATGCCAAATAAATATTCGTACTTATTAGCTATATTAGGGGTGTTATTTTGGAGTTGAATTGTTTGTACTGTTTTTTTTAATCTGTTAATATATAAAGAGTAAGTGATATTTACTTGAAATAACAACTAAAAATCAACAAAAGAACATTTAATTTCTCGCGCCTAGAGTATTTACTATATTGAGTATTATTTTTGGCCAAAATTTAAAAAATCTTGTCTAAATTAATGTACATAATCATTTTGGTCAAATATTGCGGCTATTACCTTTATTAGTTGCATGATTTAAATTTGAAATATAATATATTGACAAAACTTGCAGCTATTACCTTTATAGTTGCATGGTTTAAATTTGATATATAATATATTGAAAAAAAATAAAAAATAAAATATTTAAATTTAAAAATAAAATATAATTATTCATAACTTACCGATCAATATTAACTTGGACGTAAACGACATAGTCAATTATTTATAATTTAATAAATTACTCAACTACTTATTATTTTTATTTGAATAGGTTATATAATAATAAATTCTTTTAAGTAATGAAACAATTTAAATCTTATATTTATTCTTATCATTCACATAGGTTATTAAATATATGATAACATTTTACCAAAATAACTATTTTATGGAATCACATAGTCAAATCGATTTTCTGAATAAAAATTTTGAAATGATACTTATTTTGAAACGTATATAGTGTAATTTATTATCAGCACCGCACGGGTTGTATACTAATTTTAAATATTTATTTTTATGTAATTTCGCACAATTTAAACTTTATATAATATTTTTAATAAATTAATATAGATAAATTTTATTATATATTAATTCTATATTTTTAATTTATAAATATTATTTAATAAAAAATTTAAATTTATAAATATTAATGAATATCTCGTGCACATACTCATACTTAAAAAAAAAAATAAAAGCTATAAGCTCGCCGTTAAATGTCTGAATATTAATTATTCGCGCAGCTGCACTCAGAGTTCTCAAATATATACCCTTCCCTTGCCTTTTCTATTTGTTTCTGTTTGTTTGGGGGTCCTTGTTGGGCGCGTGGGCCACACGGAAAGCGACGCCGTTGATATTGGGGGTGTGAAAAAGGACGCGCCATCATTTTACGGATTTGAGCGATCTATCTTATATTGGTGGGTCCCACCCACTCATATCTCACCTCCCCAAAAGTCAACTTAAAAAAAATGTCTACTTACAGTATGGTCTACCGGACCGTTACGTGAAAAATAAATTAATTACAATAATCATTATGGGATTTCCTATATTATTGTTCTTTATGATTGAGATGATATTATTTTTCTAACTTTGAGTTCTTCCATTTGATTTCTGAAAACATAGTGTAATTTGATTTTTCTTTTTACTAATAAAAGTTTAAGATAATTTTTGAAAAAATGCCATAGAAAATAGTCAAAAGAGTATTACCTTTAGAAATTTTGACTCGGGACTTATTTTTAGCGCATAATTTGAACAATCGAACCCTTTTTGGTCTAGGTAGTTGGGAAACACTATAATGATCTATTTTTGGATATATTATCTTTTAATTTCTGGATTAGACAACGTGTATATATATATATGACAGAATAAAAACAACTCAAGCTAATGAATTAATTAATAATTATATCGAATTAAACAGAAGTAACAACATAAAAATTTTCTTCACACATAGATCATTGAAATATATAAGATAAAAAAAAGGACAAGTTTTGATATTTTATATATAGTAGCTAATAGTTATGAGTGACCATCAAAGTAGACAAATTAAAATGGTCTTTTACTGTTTATATATTTCTTTTACCTCCAATTGTACTGGCAAAGACAAGTGCTTGGTTCACTGCCTTCTCTTGAAGTGTATATATATAGGATGTGGTTCAAATGAGAACCAAGTTCTAGCGTGAGAACCGTGAGAACCGCTATTTATAGTTGCAAGTAGTGCTATGATTTATTGTGTTTTAATGCTATTTTTAACATGGATTTATTTTCTTAAAAATAGCAACACAATTTATAATAGCATTTGTGAAAATGGTAGCACCATGTGATATTAAAAATAGCATCATACACAATAAAAACTAGCATCAAATACGGTTCTCACGGTTCTCACACCAGGACTAGTTTTTATTTGAACCACTCCCTATATATATATATATATATATATATATATATATATATATATATATATATATATATATATATATATATATATATATATATATATATATATATATATATATATATATATATATATATATATATATATATATATATATATATATATATATATATATATATATATATATATATATATATATATATATATATATATATATATATATATATATATATATATATATATATATATATATATATATATATATATATATATATATATATATATATATATATATATATATATATATATATATATATATATATATATATATATATATATATATATATATATATATATATATATATATATATATATATATATATATATATATATATATATATATATATATATATATATATATATATATATATATATATATATATATATATATATAACTTGCCTGAAATAAATATAATAACAGGAAAAAGTTCCAATCGAGGAAGTGTTTGAGCAGCTGAAATGCACCCGGGAGGGTTTGAGTTCCGACGAGGGTGCCAACCGGCTTCAAATTTTCGGTCCAAACAAATTGGAAGAGAAAAAGGTATGACGAAACGAAACGTAACTCAAAATGTATGTTTTTTTTTATACAATGGCTCATTTCATATTGTATGTATGTATGTTTTTTTTACAGTCTCACTTTTTATTTAGCATTTTTTCACTTTTCAAAATGAAATATAGCTGATTTCTAAGAAATATAGCCATTTTGCCATATAAAATGACACAATTACTCTTGAAACAAAAACCTTTTCTCGGGAATCTAAGATGGCTTCTAGACTATCTAGACTCGATTTATGGAGTCTCAAATTCTCCATAAACCTTTTCTTGTAGTAAGGGTAATTGTGACATTTCACAAGAAAAAAAATTGTTATATTTTATACTTCCACAAAACAAAAAGTGACTATATTTCATCTTTTACAAAATGATAAGGCTATTTACCAATATTTTTTTTTGTTACTATAGGAAAGCAAGTTGCTCAAGTTTCTAGGGTTTATGTGGAACCCGCTCTCGTGGGTCATGGAGGCCGCCGCCTTGATGGCCATCGTGCTGGCCAACGGTGGCGGCAAGCCCCCAGACTGGCAAGATTTTGTGGGTATCGTTTGTTTGCTTGTTATCAACTCCACCATAAGTTTCATCGAGGAAAACAACGCCGGAAATGCAGCTGCCGCCCTCATGGCCGGCCTCGCTCCCAAAACGAAGGTAATTTCGATAAGTATATTATGTTATTTAAGTATAACTAAACTTAGTTGGTAAATCCTTCGAAGTTAGTTGTTGTTATTTGAATTTCTCTTACGTTAACCTCGATTAGTGTATTTTCAAAAATAATAACACTTTGTGTCTTTGTCATAACTAATCATGTTACTTTATATATCACATCACTTTAAAAGAAGATTCATCCTAATACATATATTGCTCGGACACGTCTCACAATCTTGTTACTTTACACATCACAACACTTTTAAAAATCAGCAACTATTAAACTTGCACTATCACACTTTGTCATCATCCCTTGTGTCAATTTAAAATACTTGAAAAATTAATACATGTGAACTTAACGCGTTAGCTACAGCACTGGACGGGTCGATACGCACAGCGCCTAGTATCCATTGTTTACAGCTAGGACTATTGGGGTATCTAATCTCATTCGCTCCCCTAGCTTTCGTCTCTTAGTGTCAGTGTCGGCCCAACAGAGTGCATTCACTCTTGGTGTTCTTTCCGATCTCTACGCATTTCACCGCTCCACCGGAAATTGTTACAATATTATAAAACTTGTTTTATTATTTTTTTTAAAAAAGAAAATGACTCAAATATATGGAGTTGTAAATAATATCATTTTTATACCTATATAATTTTATGAATATAACTAAAAATACCTTTCTGACAACAAATTTCATGTAAAAATACGAGCACCATTTGAATTAATTATCACTTTGTTAGTTATTTATTATTGTTGCATATTCATCATACATAATTTCAAAATAAAAATAAAAATTATTTTAACTTTTATTCTATAAATATTAATATATTTAAGTACCGGGTATTGTACTAGCATACATATATATACTAGTAGAACAAAACGGTCTAATCTGGTCGAACCGCCGCAGGTCCTCCGAGACGGGCGTTGGAGCGAGCAGGAGGCGTCCATCCTCGTCCCCGGCGACATCATCAGCATTAAGCTCGGCGACATCATCCCGGCCGACGCGCGCCTCCTCGAGGGAGACCCCCTCAAGGTGGACCAGTCGGCCCTCACCGGCGAGTCCCTCCCCGTCACCAAGAACCCCCACGACGAGGTCTTCTCCGGCTCGACTTGCAAGCAAGGCGAGATCGAGGCCGTCGTCATCGCCACCGGCGTCCACACCTTCTTCGGCAAGGCCGCCCACCTCGTCGACTCCACCAATCAAGTCGGGCACTTCCAGAAAGTCCTCACCGCCATCGGCAACTTCTGCATCTGCTCGATTGCCGTCGGCATGTTAACCGAGATCATCGTCATGTACCCCATCCAACACCGCGAGTACCGCAAGGGAATCGACAACTTGCTCGTGCTTTTGATCGGCGGGATTCCGATCGCCATGCCGACAGTGTTGTCAGTCACGATGGCCATTGGGTCCCACCGGCTGTCCCAGCAGGGTGCGATTACGAAGAGGATGACTGCCATTGAGGAGATGGCCGGGATGGATGTGTTGTGTAGTGATAAAACGGGGACTCTCACGCTCAACAAGCTCACGGTTGATAAGAGTTTGATTGAGGTTTTTGCGAAGGGGATGGATCCGGAACAGGTTTTGTTGCTTGCCGCTAGGGCTTCGAGGACCGAGAATCAGGATGCTATCGATGCGGCCATTGTCGGGACGCTTGCCGATCCCAAAGAGGTGTGTCTCTCTAAGTGTGTGTGTTGTGGTCTATTTTTGTGGAAATAAATATTGTTTGAAGCTGACATTTTGACTCCTCTATTATAAAAACGATAAATTTTGAATCGATCTTTATAATTAATTTAGAGCTTTTGAAACTCATGACGAGACAAACAAAATGAAAGATTTCTAAAAATTGATTCATCGGTAATCGATCAACAAAGAAGGTACGTGCACCCAACGTGTAGAAAAAGCTTGGGTTTTAATTTTTTCAATAATCAAGATATCCGAGTCTTGATGAGGAAGTGACGTTTTAAAGCTTGCAAAAATGATGTTTCTAACGAATTTTGATTAGTAGCTCCAAAAATAGCTAAATATTTGTCGATTTGGTTTGTTTGACTACTCATCATCAGGATTTTTATTCTACTCTGAGAGGTGACTTATTTATTTAATTTTTCCTAGAACAAATGGTTTGCTCATTGTTTTGTTTGTTTAGGCAAGAGCTGGTATCAGGGAGGTTCACTTCTTCCCCTTCAACCCGGTGGATAAGAGGACGGCTCTGACTTACATCGACTCCAACGGGAACTGGCATAGAGCTAGCAAGGGAGCTCCCGAGCAGGTTTGTGTGTTTTTCTTAACAAAAGTTAAAATATGAAATGTGATAAAATTTAGTTTTCCACTTTGCTGTGAAACAGATTTTGACGCTCTGCAACTGCAAGGAAGATTTGAAGAAGAAAGTCCACAGTGTCATCGATAAGTTTGCCGAGCGTGGACTCCGGTCATTGGCCGTTGCTTATCAAGTTAGAATAATATTGGTTTCTTTTGTGAGTTCGTATGTTAATTGTGCCGAGAAAGAGAAAATTCATTTTTATATTTTCAGGAATTGCCCGAGAAATCGAAAGATGCTCCCGGTGCCCCGTGGAAATTTGTCGGGCTTTTGTCCCTTTTCGATCCTCCGAGGCACGACAGTGCCGAAACTATCCGAAGGGCTCTGAATCTTGGTGTAAATGTGAAAATGATTACTGGTAAAGCTAATAATACTCTTCAACAATAACTTCGTTTTTTCGTTTCCCTTAGTTTNACTATTCGTCTATTTTTTATTATTTTTTTTTTTTGGTTTTAATTTTTCTTTTTTTTCGAGCAGAGCACAAATACGAAATCGTGAAGAAGTTGCAAGAAAGGAAGCATATTGTTGGGATGACGGGAGATGGAGTGAACGATGCCCCGGCTTTGAAGAAAGCCGACATTGGAATTGCGGTGGCGGATGCTACGGATGCCGCAAGAGGTGCTTCGGATATCGTGTTGACTGAACCAGGACTTAGTGTTATTATTAGTGCGGTGTTGACCAGCCGAGCCATTTTCCAGAGGATGAAGAATTACACGGTTAGTCAATGGAAAATTTGGAGATTTAGTCCTATTACTCACACCAAATTGAGAAATAGCCAATGGTTTCGTTGATTTTACAAAACACCCAATAACTACAACACACGGTTAGTCAATTTGACCGGTCAATGGAATGACCAAAAGTCACTTTTTTTTTTCCTTTATGGAGTTTTTTATAAAGTCAACGTGATCACCACCAGACTATTTCTCAATTAGGTTTCACTTATTGGACTAAATCTCCAACTTTTCCTTTAGTCAATTATTATCATTTTAAATATTTGTTCTTTCGTGTGCAAGTAAAGGCTTTTTTCTCCTTTTTAATGAAGTTTTGTTTTTGTGTATTCTGTTTTTGCAGATTTATGCAGTTTCCATCACCATCCGTATAGTGGTAAGTTAGATTGTGACAGTTGAAGGCACGTATATATAATCCTTTCCGAGTTTCTCATGTATTTTCCTTGTCTTTTTGCAGTTTGGTTTCATGTTCATTGCTTTGATTTGGAAGTTCGATTTCTCGCCCTTCATGGTTTTGATCATTGCCATTTTGAACGACGGTATATTTATTCTTTCTTCCTCTGTATTCCTCTGTTAGCTATTAATAATTCTTCAACTTTGTAAAAGGAATCGAAAATTTAACTTTGGTCTGTTTAGGTACTATTATGACCATCTCAAAGGATCGAGTGAAGCCATCTCCACTTCCCGACAGCTGGAAACTCAAAGAGATATTCGCCACCGGCATTGTTCTTGGAGGATATCTTGCCTTGATGACCGTTATATTCTTCTGGCTCATGCATAAAACCGACTTTTTCCATGTACGTGAACCTTTTCTTTTATCCTAAACTGTGTATCGACCTGCAACAAAGTTCAAAGTTTCTCATTTAATTTCGCGGCCCATAAAAATGCAGGACAAATTTGGCGTGAAAAATATTAGAAACAGCGAGGATGAAATGATGGCCGCTCTATACTTGCAAGTGAGTATCGTTAGCCAAGCTCTCATCTTCGTGACAAGATCACGAAGCTGGTCATTTGTCGAGAGACCCGGGCTTTTGTTAGTGACTGCTTTCGTAATTGCACAACTGGTAAGAATTTTATAAAAAAGAAAACACCGAACAAAAACTCGATATAAAATCTAAAAATTCTGAAAAAAAAAATCTACCTATTTATTCATTTGTGTTTTTCTAGGTTGCGACTCTCATAGCCGTGTACGCTAACTGGGGTTTCGCGAGGATTAAAGGCTGTGGCTGGGGATGGGCCGGCGTTATCTGGATTTACAGTCTCGTTTTTTATGTTCCGCTCGATTTAATGAAATTTGCCATCCGTTACATCTTGAGCGGGAAGGCGTGGCAGAACTTGTACGAAAACAAGGTACATGCACATGTGTTTTCGGAAAAAACGTTAACTACTACTTTTTTCGGCTAAATTGCACTTTTAGTCATATTGGTTTAACATCATAGCAATTTTACTCTCAAGATTCTTACTTTTCTCCTTTCAATCATGTGATAATATTTTGTTGCAATTCCAATTCTTTGATAACTAAAATTGCAACAAATTCCCAAATTTATATCCTTGGGGTGAATTTTTTATTAGCAGTTCAAGTCCTTGTAATTTAAAATTTTGTTACATTTTAAGTTTAAAATTTTGTTGCAATTGTAGTAAAATATTAAACCAAAAGGCGAAAAGTTGGAACACATGGATTAAAATTGCTATGACGTTAAACCAACAGGAATAAAAATGCATTTTTTGCCTACTTTTTTCGTATTTTTGTACGCAAATTAATTTCGTTTTCGATCTATCTGTGCTTTTTTTTTTCCAATTCAAGACTGCTTTCACGACCAAGAAAGATTACGGGAAAGAGGAGAGGGAAGCCCAATGGGCTCTTGCTCAACGGACTTTGCACGGCCTGCAAACCCCGCAAGATACTAATCTCTTCAACGAGAAGAGTAGCTATCGTGAATTGTCCGAAATAGCCGAACAAGCCAAGAGAAGAGCTGAGATTGCAAGGTAACTGACTAGCTTTCTTTACAAACTAGAATGAATTTTATTAAAATAACTAGTAAGAATTATGCTTAATTTGTCGATTGATAGGCTTCGTGAGCTGCATACACTCAAGGGACACGTTGAGTCGGTTGTGAAGCTCAAGGGGCTCGATATCGAGACAATCCAGCAGCACTATACTGTCTGAAGAAGCAGAGTAAATCTTTTTTTTCACCATTAAGTGAGAAAAAGATGATTTAGAGAGAGCATAAAGAGTGCCATTTAGACAAAAACTGATCCTAACAAGAATTTCCCTGAGTCTGTTCATTTTGCTCGTCTAATTCTTGGCTCTTATGTATATGAGTACAATGGCATCTCCTTTGTAACAACTGTCCTTTTTTCTTTTTCCAGATTAGTCGTGTGCATTGATGTTTTCGTGTTAATACTTAATACTTAATAACGTGATCTATAATTGTCTACTTGATGTGATTAGCTTTGGTAGTTAACTATCGGTTTTGACGATGATTTAACTGTAAAAATTCAGTGACTGCAGTTAAGTTTAAATGCAAATGAACCCATTTTTGCTAAATGGTGGTAACTTTTTCTGCCATTTATCAGCTCCAAAATCAAGATTAATCCACCAACACCATCAAGAAAACATTTACATTGAAAATAAAATCCCATCACATTCAAAATCAGGATATCTTGAAGGTGGATCACTGTTGACTCCGTCTTGGTTGACACGTGGACGTACAACATTGGGTTGATAATTTCAATTTGAAGTTGTGTTTTTGTAGTAGAATAGGTGGAATCTTTATTTTCAAGTAACCAAAAGATATTGCGGACGTAACTTGTAAGTAAGAAAAAATGAAATAATAATCATGATTAAAGTTGATTTTATATGTAAAATTATGAAATATAACAATAGTTTGAACTACGTAAGTTATTTAAATGATGAAAGTTTTGAAATATGTATTTACTAAGTTTGATTTATGGGGTAGACAAATGAAACGGTCTTTTATATTGGACGACGACTTTTATATATACAACAGATGAAGTGATTAAAAGTATTTTAATTGTTATGTTGTTCAATATGTAAAACACATCAAGCTAAAAAGTCTGGAATCAATATATCAAACTATTGGTAGGATTATTTTTATGTTTTTAATTGATTTAGGATTTTTTTTTTAATCTTGACATTCTAAACTAAAGATAAGAGAATATACAACATTTTTAAGTTAGAGACATCATGATACATAATAATACTACTTATAAGTATTGGTAGATTAAAGAAATAAATTATGGGCATAAATAACTTTTTGTAAACTAATAGTTAGGCGGGCCGCTTCATTTTTTAATAAAATTACAAATTTATATTGTACAATATAATATTTATATTTAAATTGTATTAAAGTATAACATTTAGATATAAAATACGTATATTTGTTGGAAAAAATAAAAGTGATTAACCATTATACTTATCTAATAGTAATTTTACGAAACTAATCATAGATGGTATACAAAAAGTTAGCTGCTAAAGTGATGATACTATAGTTACACAAATTTTTGGCTACGAGATAAAATGCACACTTATGCTACTAAACTAGTGCAATCTCCGTTTACTACACAAGTGTTTTGTTGAAAAAATTATATTTAAAATTAAATAATAATAACAATAAAAATTGTTTTTTAGTTTTTTATATTATTATCTATATTTAAAATGACACCGTTACTTACACGACTTACTATCTTATATTATAATTTTTTTTTTTTTTTTAATTTATATCAGATAACTACTTTATAGTTAAGTTAGTTTAAATAATTTTATTTTTTTGAATTAATATTTTGTTGATATCCGACTTGATTGCATAATTAAAGGTGGAGATTAATGATTTCATTGAATAAATAATCCGCCGGAAAAAGCAAACTTAAGGTAAGTCGGTATTTATTGAATTAATTACCGACTTCCGAGATCGTCAAAAGTACCGACTATTGAGACAGATACAAAAAATCGAGACCGATCCGAGACCGACTTCAGTTCAACCAATATTATGACAATGTCGAATCAAACCTTATCTGTTTAAATCGACGGCATAAAAGTTCGAATATCCAAGCAGAAAACAGAGCTGTAAGCATGTGATTGGATCGTCAAGATAATATAGCAATCATTGATGTTCCATGATTTCGAAGCACATCACTTTGTTGAAGCTGCTCAACATTAAATACATTCTTATCCATCTCAAACAAGAAGACAAAAACCACCGTACTATAAATAGCAGAATTTATGATAGTACGAGGATCTTTTTCAACACATTGTACATGGACTTAAGATGATCTCGGTTAAGAATAAAAAAACCGACTCCTGTACTCTTGTGAATATATCAAATAAAATCAAATTTTACTTTAATCTTTGTTTAAACACACTCAGCTGTTTGTAATTTTAAGTTGTTAATTTCATACAACAACATATTTATAGATAATTTAAATCTAATTATAAATATAAATGAAATTATCTATTTATTTTGTATGTGTAATATAGATGTCAAATCGAAGCTTATCAAGACATGATTACTTTAATATATAAAAATTTGTTAATTTATTAAATTTTAAATATATTTATATTTTAAGTTAGTAAATTTGTTATAATTATAAAAGAATGATTGGAAATGAATTATACCTTTCAAATCACATCTACAATATGAAATAGTATTAAAACTTAATTAATTCTCTTAAAAGGGACCATAAACCCCCCTATATATAATTCTCAAATGTGCTGAGCCTAAGTGACAAGTTTGCACGTTTCGGAATCCTATGTGGCAAATTTTGTAAGCTTTGTTGTTTGGCTTGGATGAATTTTAATTTATTTCCAATCCAAAAATAACTAGGCTTGGAATATCCACAAATATATTGTATATTTATGGTCCTTTGTAATAGTATTAACTATGTTCTAATATCATTTCTTCTTATAGACGTAGTTTATAAGGTATAATTTTCTTCCAATCTTTCTTTTTTACTCATATTTCTTTTAAAATTATAACAATTTTACTAACTTAGATTATAAATATATTTAAAAGTTATTTATTTTTATTTATTTAATAATATAATATATCAAATTAATCATGTTTTGATGAGCTTCGATCTGACATCTATATTATACATGCAAAATAAATAAATAATTTTATTTATTTTTATAATTAAAATTAAATTGCCTATTAATATTAATTCAAAAAAATAAAGTTATTTAAACTAACTTAACTACAATGTAGTTATCGCATATAATTAAGAAAATTATAATATAAGATGGTAATTCGTGTAAGTGACAGTATCATTTAAAATATAAATAATAATAATTTTTTTTTCAAAAAAGTATTTAAAAATAAAATAATTTTTGTTGTTATTATTATTTAATTTTAAAATTATTTTATTTTTCAAATACCGTGTAGTACACGGGTATTGTATTAGTATCCAGTATATTTATGGATATTGTAAATCTAGTTACTTTTGGATTGAAAATAAATTAAAATTCATCTAAGTCAAACAACAAAGCTTAAAAGTTTGCCACATAAGATCTCAAAGTGTGCAAGTTTGCCTCTTTGGCTTAGTACATTCGACAATTATGATATGGGATGTTATATTTATGTTTATATTATTTTCTAAATATAATATTTTATAATTAAAATATCCACGATTTCTAAATTTAAAATGTGACCTACCTTTTAGTTGTTACAAATAACAATAATAAAAAATAATAAATAATTGCGTGCGGTTACATATTCTGTTCATTTTATAGACTTCGGACAGAAAATTGATAGATAAATAATTAAATACACATAAATACTCTCAGACACACCCACTGTGCATTTCCATTTTCTCGGAGTCGATTTCTGACGTCATCACATGTCGTCGGCTAGCGCAGCTGCGGAAACGGCGGCGGCGGGGAAAGAAAGGCCGCCGTACGAGATTAGCAAGGGAATGAATGGACTGGAGAAGATTGTCCTCCGCGACATCCGCGGTAACTCGGCCGAGGTACTTTTTTTTCTCAATCGCTCGCTTCGTTTGGCTTTTTCTATCGATTTCGTTTATGTCTTCGTATTGATGTTTTGTGTAGGTGAGATTTGTAATTGATGATGTGGTCTGATCTGTACGTTTCTAGTCTAATGAGATGATTGATTGTTTGGAATATAGACGAACGCAGCAGAACCGTGTTTTACAGGGTGCTTTTAATGCTTGTACGATGCCGTTGTTCAATAAAAAATGTGTGATGTGGTTTGGGTTTTTGTTCGTAATGTTGAATTAAATGCATTTTTAATTCAGTTTTAGCAAAATGAAACACGACAAAGGCTGTTGCAACAATATCTCTTCTAGCTGTTGGTAGATATGAATCTGTATTTGCTCTGATGTTTAGTACAGAATATGATTTAGCTAACTCTATAGAAATAGATATTGATATGTAGTACTTGTTTATCTTGAAGAATTGGAAGCATCTCATAGATTTTGAGCGCATTTTTGGATGACGATATTTAACTAAATGTTTCTTTGTTATATCTTCATTTTTCTTGCTCTTGACATCCGCTCTTTTATAGATCTATCTTTATGGGGCTCAAGTAACATCATGGAAGAATGAACATCGGGAGGAGCTGCTTTTTGTGAGCGGCAAGGTATTATCTATGATTTGGTAGCCTTTTGTTACATTATTTTCTGGTTGCACCTTGGAACAGTTTGTTTCAGTTTTTCCTTATTAGGATTGTGCTAATTATTAAATATATGATAAGTTAGCTTATAAGCTTCCTATATTCAAATAAACTTCCTTTGGTTTGACGAGCTTTTTTAAAAAGCTCGAGCTTATCTCATAAGCTTCTTTGGATAGCTTTTCAAATAAGCTCTGTTAGAATAGCACTTGTGAGTTGTCCCACATCGTCAGGGAAAATAAGCCTAACTTATAAGCCTAGTGGGCTACTCCTAATAAGCCTAGTGGGCCTAATTTATAGGCCCATCAAGGTTCACCCGCACTGCGTGGGACCACACCAGTTTTCCCCCCGTTTTTTACAAGCTCGTTGAATATTTTATTTCAGCTAGCTTATCAGCTAATTTTACCAAACACTTTTATTATATAAACTAGCTTTTTATAGCTTTCAGCTATAAGCTCGAAAATCAGTTACAAGCTATCAGCTAGTTTTACCAAACATAGTCTATGTGTTTTAACTTCATCATCACTCTGTGTTGTTATGTAGTCTTGTTATGCGCGCCAATCATGTGGTGTGTTTTGTAAAACTATGAGTTCTTATATGTCTACAATATTTGGTGGACAATTGATTCTAGTTGTCAACTCAACAGAGATTTATATGAGAGAATAGTGTGCTTGAACTCTAGACGGAACTTTATACGCGTCATAAACTCGTTAACCTATATTAACTGCCAAAATAATATATATGCTGATACTTTCCCAAATAAAAGGCTGTAAGGTACAATGCTGTGACCTGGAAATGCTTTAGTAACCTGGATGCTTTACCTTTGCAATATGTTAAACGTAAGGGTCTATAGTTTTTTGGAAACTTCTGATTCAGTAATTCATTGATACGACAAGTGGATGGTATGGCTTTTCTAATATTTCTTTTTCTTTAGTTTGGATATGATCTGCCAACCCGTTGCTGGTGTCTATAAATGGCGCATATCTGTTTATTCGTATCAACTTGGTTGTTGCTGTTGGGAACTTAATACTTAGTAATATTGCACCTCTAGTTGTTTCCATGTTCAAATGTTCAGTATTTGGGCAAAGCCTTTTCCCTGGAAATATCACATCTCATAAATTGCATGTCCAGAAGTAGATTTGAGTTTCAGATGATCGACTTCTGATTTGTTCCGGTTGAGTTTCAGTCT